CTGATATTTCTTCCAATTTAGCTAAAATAAAGTTTCAATTTTTGCCAATTATCATGTTTTGTTTCTTTTAAAATTTCAATAAATTAACATGAAAATATTATGCATACTTCTCTAAGTTTGAAAAAAAACACTAAATTTATTCAGAAGAAACATTTAATCATTCTGTTGTATGTGAATTCTATTCAAACACATTCTGTCTCCCTACATGCTACCAAGACAAATTCTAAAAAATTGTACTCAAGTACTATTTACCACAACCTGACTTCCTTTCCCTACTCTCCTATTCAACAGGAGCAGCTAAGTGTTTGGGAAACTGCAGTTTGAATTCAAACTCCTATTCTGTGCTTCTAGCTTCCTACTAAATGTTTTTACAATTCATGTATATAGAGGTTATTTTCTCTATTATTTCTATAAAATATTCTAGAATTCAATCACTACTAACTGAATTTTTATTGGATAAAAGATGACTTGTCATTCTTTAGGGTATGAAATAAATTATAGCGTCATGAAAACCTGCTGTTTCATTGTACTTCCAAAGGTGGATGTGTGTACACACTTTCATCAATTTGTGTGTGCGATTGTATGTGTAGGAGTAAAGTTACACACATGCACAGTTCAAAGTGAAAATAAGCTCAAACCACTTATTTAGTTGTTTGTTCATTATTAGATTTTAAAGGAGGAAGAGCTATATTGTTCCAGATTATCAAAAAATAGAAGTTTTGACATAGGACAATATGTAAGCCATAGATGTGCCCAAAACAGTGAAAATTCAAGAGAAAAGATGAGAACCGATGGGGGTGTTTTAACTAATCATAAAGTGTAGGACTAATAAAGAGGTAAGTGAGTGGAGGACAGAAAATCCTCTGGAGAAAATACTGAAGATTAAATATGTTGCTTTATATCACAGATGGCTTTTGAAGATTTCCAGTTATAACAAAACATTCTGTGACTCATCCAAGGTACAATTACTGAAGTGTGCTTTATCAGTTACATCATTATAATAAAATACCATGACCAACAGCACTTTAAGGGATAAAGAGTTACTTTCAGTTTAGGGATCCAGGTTGTCGAGAATCTATAATGGCTGGAAAGGTATGGCAAGAAGCAGAACAACCACACTTCATTACTAAACAGGAAGAAGAGAGGCAGGGAGAAAGATGGGTGATGCTGTAACCCCCCAATGTCCATTTCCAGTGACTTACTTCCTGTATCAAGGCTGCACATCCCAAAGGTGCCATAAAATCCTCCAATAGTACCACTGATGGCAACCAAGTGTTCTAGTATGTAGGCCTACTGGGGATATTTTTAACTAAACCAGCCACCAAGTTCCTCTATTTTTCTTTAACCACTTGGTCAACTAAGAATTTTTCTGGCTGACCTATAAATCAGGAGGTGTCTAAGGAAGGAAAAAATAACACCTAACAGTATTATTGTTCTCAATTCAGCTTTTAATCATGTTAGCTTTGTTCCAGGAAGCCATAAACAATAGTATCTATCACTGTCAGTTTAATTTCAATTTGGCTATCTTCGGACCAATTTAAGGTCCTGTGGTTGTCTTGTCTTTAGTACTACCATGTGCTGTAAGAAGCTTGTGTAGCTGCATTCCACACTGAGGGGCATTTGCAGGTTGATTTTTACTTGTCATGAAGGATCAGAGCTTGAATATGAGCTCCAGGCAGAAAAAGTTTTTTTCTGTTAGTGTTTGGAATTTGCCTCCAATGACTGGTGCTGGTACCATGTGTCTCATAGGAAGCTGACATACTTAGAATCATGTCTTAATTGATACAGGGAAAGGAAAGAGTAGTAAAAGACCCTTTATTTGCTCTTTTTCCTTCTTAGCAACCCTTATCATGAACCTAAGACACTATGTATTTGGGATTATTATTTGATATCAGGATGGCCTGTTTGTAACAGTCTTTAAAAGAAGCCCATTTCTTTTGAGCCAATTCTGTTCCTATGAGTAACCCCTCACCCATATTCCTGAAAGTAACCTCAATAAAACTCATTAGTTCTTGAACTTTGGTGGCTCCCTATCTAGGAGGAGTAGATATGTGTGTAGTATCTCCCCAGGAAAAGTTTGGTCACACAACATTTGTACAAATAGAGAACATTTAAAGGCTTGCTGGCTGCAAGTATATATGAATGAAATAATTTTAATGTGTCAGTCATCAACCAATGAAACTAAATCACTTGTGTAACTCACATACAGCTGACCATACATTCATGAACCATTAAAGGATGCCATTGGTGAGTGAATCTGGAGCTTCATGAACAATAAAAAGTATTGTTTGAAGCTGCATAATGATTTGTTAGCTTGCATTTTTTTGTAACAATACTTAACAGATACAAAGACATCAGGGTGAACTGAAATTAGATTATGGCATATCTGAGCAACAGTGTTGCACTGTAGTATTAAATCCTCTTGTTCACAAAGCATAATCTCCTCAGTTATTTTAATGTATCTACATAATTCCAAAGGTTTCCGGCATTATTCATCATCATCTTAGAGAGAATAGTATTATTAAGCAAACAAAAAAATCCATGAAAACTATATCTTAGGTAAAGTCATCCAATCAGAAATAACCAAAAACCCTATGGTGAAGGGTTCCTGAAAAGAAAAAAAAGAACCTTCATGTTTCAAAATGCTTCAATTTTGAATGTAAAAAATATTTGTGAATAATAATAATATATAGATAATAATCACATGGAATTAGAAATTTAAAAGAGATGTCTGTAGATGCTGTTTTGACATTAGGATCTCCTGGACAATCGCAACATGAACTTAAGGAAAATGTCATATTTTAACTAATGTGTATTTCCATTCTCACACAGAGTTAGAGCAGTTGCACCTTTCTTCATGGCTTCTTAGCTGCCAAACCTGGCCTTACTTTGCATTTCCTATACTTGTGACTGGTGGTGTCAGTTCTAGGTTAGTGTGAATTATGTTTTCTTAAAACTCAGTTCTTTAATTGGCAATCTAATAAAGGACACAGGATTATATTGGGTTCATTATGAAATGTCAAGAAAACTTTGATAATGGTTTGGGGGAAGGAACTCAAACTTAAAAATGTATTTCCTTTTGTTATCACTGTTCTACTATACATGTTCCAAATGTCTAATTGGAAGTGTTACTTGTCAATTAACTGTCACCTATAACTGTATTTATTCTGATAACTAACAACAAGCATTGCACTTGACTGTTATCAATTTCCCTCAGTGTCATGGAGCATCCTTTCCACCCTCCTGAGTACACTTATTGTGCTCACCCTACACCCTGTGCCTTTGATCAGTAATTTCAAATCTCTATCTCTTTTTGTAAAGTTCGGGTGTTCCTTCAGAGCTTCTGTCTACATTCTTTAAATCTTAGTGTGTAATTTCACACAAAAGGTGTTTTAGCTTTGTGCAGACTTCTGTGCTTTTCACTTAGAAAATGACACAAGTAGGTACACCTCAATAACCCATTGACCTTAACCCATCTGCAGCCAGGAATGTGCTCCCGCAGTTAGTTATCTTTCATCCCAGGCCCACATTCATACCCTATTTTTGGTGCTTGGAAAACAATCTAGCTATTATGCCATTTTAACTGAGGGTACCGTCTTTTTAAACCTTTTCTTAAGTAAATTCATTCTTTTAGAATTTCATACACATATATAGCACATTTCATTTATCTAACACCAAATTTAATATAAAAGTACAGATGTATCAAAATTAATAGAATTATTTATACTTTTATCTTTATCTCTGTTGTTTGAAAAGCAGATGCCATTTGGGAGAATCACTTTTCTGGGTGAATATTCATTATGTGTAGTGATGGGCTTCATAAACATCCAGTACATCCTGTTCATATGCTCAATAAAGTAGGGTTACTTGTAAGTCATTGAATTACTATATAAATACTTGTTAGTGAATTTGTTAGAACTTTAAAATGTGTGTGGCATAAATAGGAATAATTTCTATATGAACACCTATTTCCTTTTTTTTTTTTTTTTTTTTTTTTTTTTTTTTTTTTTTTTTGGTTTTTCAAGACAGGGTTTCTCTGTGTAGCTTTGCGCCTTTTTCTGGAACTCACTCTGTAGCCCAGGCTGGCCTTGAACTCACAGAGATCCACCTGGCTCTGCCTCCCGAGTGCTGGGATTAAAGGCGTGCGCCACCACCGCCCGGCCTATTTCCTTTCTTATTCAAAGCATTTTCTAGTGAGAAACCACAATCTTTGAGTATGATTCCATTTGTAAATGTATTATGAAATTAGTACTTTTGTGTCACTTTCTAAAGTTAGAGTTTCAAAATTGCATGCAGATATTTTTATTTGAATTTAATTCAGTTTTCTATTCTAAGGGAGAAGCTAATCATAAAATAGCTATTTTCCAATTCTCTCATTGTTTCATAAGAGTGTGAGAGACACAGTACACAGGTTGAGCAGCATGTGTAGACAGCATCCTGGTGATGCTCATACAATAACCATATTTAAAGGACATATATGCCAAAATATTCCCTTTCATTAGACACTGGGTTCTAAATGTGTAGTACATGAGCATAATAGTTATGTAGATCAAGTGCTCAAGCATTCATAGGAATTAATGATGGCTAAGCATATTTTGTTTTGTTTTTCAGAATACCAAATGTGTGTGTGTGTGTGTGTGTGTGTGTGTGTGTGTGTGTGTGTGTGTGTGAGAGAGAGCTAAACATTTATGACATGGAAAAAAGGAACTACTAGACAGAGTTATATAAGCTCAGATATAAAATAGTATAGTCACAATGGAAGAAACAATTTACAAATAAATATTTTATACAATATACCAAAATTTGGAATGAATGTCTGATCAGAAAAGCATCAAGGAGACAATATGTACAATGCTCACAATAGACATTTATTTAGGTAAAATGCTGAGAAATATCATAAAATGAGCAAAGGAGAAATCTTCAACACAGTAGGTTAATAGTAGCCATCCTAAGTAATTGATTCTGGATAGGATTAGTAGATTATTGCAGATGGCATATTTTCAGTAAAATCCTGAGGACCAGTATCCACCATAGAAAGAGGGACGGAAGTATCCATAGCCACCATAGCCCCCGAGACCATAGCTGGAACCATAGCCATAGCCCAGGCCACCAAAGCCACCAAAGCCATAGCCAAGGCCACCATAGTAGTTGCCGTAGTAGTAGCTCATTGTGTTTAAGGTTTAGGACTTGGTGTACTGTTGAAGGTGAATTTCTGGAGAATGAATGTCACCTCTGTGCTCAGGGTTTTTTATAGTGTTCCGGTGCAGGTATGATAAACCACCACAAAGGGATGACCTCTTTGAAAATACACCTTTGCTGAAAAACAACATCATCAAGCCACATTCCACATATTTAAGATATTTCCAAGATAAATTAAGACAGTGTTCCTTTGAACTGAGTTTTATTTTTACCCTCAAAATTAGGCTCATTTACTGAACAGTCTGTCAGATCATGCTCTGATAGTTTTCACCTTTGTATTGGATATCAAGCTCCTTTAGTTCAGAGATCTTAGACTGTTATCACTGCTGTGTTATCTCCATCTGATTAGATTCTTCTTAAAGATGGCCTTCTTTCTTGAGTTAACAGATGACGTTGAACATTATAAAATAACCATAAATGAATGCATTTAATTAAAAGTCATGGGAGAATAGATTTTTCAAGAAGAGCATGAGAATAGCACTAGGCTTTACTGGTATGTTTCCTTATCAATGTTAAGCTTTTTATTTAAATTTTTATGCAATGTATTTTGATTATATTTTCTCCACCTCCACTCCTTCCAGATCCTCCCACCTCACTACATACTGAATTTCTCCCCACTTCTTAAAAAAATTAAAAGAAAAGCAGCAAAAAACAAAAATAAAAACAGACAAACTAAAAAGAAAGGAACAAAGAAAGACAAATCATATTTATCATATATGTAACTACACTCTTGCACATATACCCAAAGGACTCTACACCTTACAAGAGAGATACTTGCACATCCATATTTATTGCTACTCTATCCATAACAGTCAGAAGTTGGAAACAGCTGAGATGTCCATAATTTTTTATGATGAACTTGTACACATCATGTCCACAAACATGGTAACAGATCCAAGCTCAGTTTTCAAGTGTCTCTATGCAGTGGTTTATGTGATACAGCCATTCTTTAATGAGTTCTCTCTAATTGGTCCATAAGTTTTGTTCTATCTCTTACTTTTGGCTTTCATCTTCCATTTGAAATGTCTCATTCCTTCTCTCTATAGTACCTCCTTTCTGCATTCTAGTACACGCACACTAGCCACAAACTGTTATACATGTAAATCCATACTGACTCATTCAGAGTTAGACATTTGTTCTTTACTGTTTTAAACTAGTTAGACAAGCTGGCATATAAACAAGAAATGGAGCTGCAATTGTGTTCTTATTGTGACACATTTTAGAAGCAACCTATTCACTGAATATTAGAATTTCTTTGCAAAAATGTCATTAATATTTTCAAAGTGGCCTATAAGAGGAAAAAAATATATAAAGCAATTTTACCCACAGAAGAGTTTTAAAATAGATTACCATTATTAAGACTGACATTAATTACAATAACCATATCAATGTAAAAGAGCTGTTACAGACTTTTGAACAGAAAAAATAATGGATGTGAGGAGAGTACACGGAAGGCTTGAATAACTTCCTGTCGTAGAATGGTGTGAAAATATTCAGACCTCCACATGTTCCTCTCATACTCAATCTTGCTTCACTTAACCATTTCACCAACTAAATAAATGCATAGACTATAATGTGTGGCCCACCTTGGTCATAAGGCATTATAACACACAACCATACTTTCAGCTATCATGTTTGGCTCATTCAGCACATGACTGCCTACATTTGTCTCTAATAATGAACTAGAATTGTGATTAGTTTGTACCCTGTCTTTGTACTTCATGAAATTATTTATTGCCATCTGGATGTAATGTTACACCTTCAGAATTCACTTACTTTCTGTACCAAACATTATGTTATTCATAAATATTAGCTAGATATTTCTGTGTTAAGTATCAGGATTTCTTCAGTATCATTTTGTTGTCTTCCAATGATTTTTTTAAGCATATTTTAATTTTATCTTCACATAACAGTGTATATAATTGTGCATAGTACATATTAAAATGTTGTTATTTTAAAATATTTTATCTTTTAAATTTTTAATTTTTTTTTTTTAAATTTATTTTAATTTATTTTGCAATACAATTCAGTTCTACATATCAGTCACGGATTCCTTGTTCTCCCCCTCCCCCTCCCGTCCCCCTCACCTTCCCCCCAACGCCCCCCCCCCCCCATTCCCATCTCCTCCAGGGCAAAGCCTTCCCCACAGACTGAGGTCAACCTGGTAGACTCAGTCCAGGTAGGTCTAGTACCCTCCTCCCAGGCCAAGCCAAACAATCCTGCATAGGCCCCAGGTTTCAAACAGCCAACTCATGCAATGAGCACAAGATCTGGTCCCACTGCCTGGATGCCTCCCAAACAGATCAAGCCAATCAACTGTCTCACCCATTCGGAGGGCCTGATCCAGTGTGGACCCCTCAGCCATTGGTTCATAGTTCATGTGTTTCCATTCATTTGGCTATTTGTCCCTGTGCTTTATCCAACCTTGGTCTCAACAATTCTCGCTCATATAAACCCTCCTCATTCTCGTTGATTGGACTCCCAGAGATCCACCCAGGGCCTAGTCATGGATCTCTGCATCCAGATCCCTCAGTAGTTGGATGAGGTTTCTAGCACAACAATTAGGGTGTTTGGCCATCCCATCACCAGAGTAGGTCAGTTCGGGCTGTCTCTCGACCATTGCCGGCAGTCTGTTGTGTGGGTATCTTCTCACTCATAGCAGGATACTAGACATGAAACAAGGATGAATTGTCTGCTACTCACATCACCAGGGAGGCTACCCGGAAAACAGGACCCCAAGAAAGACACAGGGATCGCCCAATGACAGAGAAATGGAATGAGATCTACATGAACAGCCTGGACATGAGTGGGGGTAATGAAAGGCGAGGGTCGAGGGAAAGAGAACTTGGGGGAGCGGGAGATCCCAGCTGGATCAACAACAGAGAGGGAGAACAAGGAATAGGAGACCATGGTAAATGAAGACCACATGAGAACAGGAAGAAGCAAAATGCTAGAGAGGCCCACAGAAATCCACAAAGATAAATTTTTAATTTTGATCATGTTCATTCATCATTGCCTCCCCCAACTTCCTACAGTGTCCCCGCCCTGATCCCCTTGTAACTTCATGTCCTCCATTTTTTACTGTTATTTATGACCCTAAGAGTTCAATTAGTGCTGTATTAGGTGTATTGCTCATGCAATGAAGAATAAGCCACCCGCTACCAGCCGTGCTCCAAAGGAGAGTGACTCTTCCTCCCTCTATACTGCACTTTCTCCTCTGCCAAAGGTGGGAAGTCAGAGGCTCCTTCCCATCCATGATAGAAACATGGTGTTGTGAGTTGATAATGGCAAGAGCCATGTTCAGAAGTTATCATTCCTCTGCTCTCCTCCTCGTCTTTCAGATCCTAAGGCCTGTAAGCACACCCTTCGTTCGTGTCCCTGAGCCTTGTGTGTGTGTGTGTGTGTGTGTTGTGTGTGTGTGTGTGTGGGAAGAGGGTGGTAAACGTGATTCCTTTGTTGCTGAGCACTCACAGTTACTTACACTTGGCACTCTGACTATTATGAGTCTTTGCATTAAGCATTTCCTGGGAAAAGAAGCATTTCTGACCAAAGTTGAGACTAACACATATCTAGGGGCATAAACATATATGCTTAGAAGGTAGTTTGACAGCATGAGTATTTAGCATACATTTTATTGTTTAACTAGATCTATATACTGTTCAGTATGGTAATTCAAATTTAACCCAGAAACTTGTATTTTTTCCCTTGAGCGTATTGCTTTCTGTTTTATATTGCATAACAATACATGCACATGCTACCTTTTCTTCCAGTTCTCTAGATTGTTTGATTTCTTACATGTAAGCAAGGTGCATGTAAAGACTGGTTCTATATAAATTCTCTTTCTATATATGCCTTAATGTTTAGAAGCATTACCAAAATAGTAACTAAAATTCTGTCCATAAAACTGTAAATGTGTAAAATTAGGCACCATTCTCTACATATCCATTACAAGCCAGTCATTTTAAATAATTCTTGCCAAGACTAATTATGTTTTGAAACAACCTGTCTAAAGGTTTAAAACATTATTATTTACTTCCTGTACATGGTGCTTTACTACTTAAAGTACCTTTTTGATTCAGTTTATCACTATATAAATAATTCCTATATGATTGCTACCAGAGTCCTAGTTTTGCCTTACATCAATGATACTCACCTCAAGTACAATTCATCACTTCACTAAGTTGTAAATTAAGATTGGCACAATCATAAACATGCTAGTAGCAAGGTAGTAAATATCACTGGAGATCAATGAAGACTCCTGTGACTAATGTTGTGAAGAATAAATTGTGTTTGATGTCATTTTCTTGAATAACTAAAAGCTACCAGATACATTAGATGAGTCCCAGAATCGGGAGCTTCTTGTCAATAGACAGTCCTTACATTTGAGGCAGCCATCTAGAGAAAAATATTTTCAATGAATCCCATTTATGGTTTAAATGATAGACAATAATAATTTAGTTGGGGAAAAGGGGCACTTAAATGCTGGTTACAATTAACTGTATATATATTAACCTGTAATAAAAGTAGAATTAACCTTGAAAAGCTGACTGTTACCCTGCTTAGTCATAAAAAGCATGAAGACAATCTGAGCATGAGCAAATTGTGTTACCCGAGATCTCTATCTCTCTGTAAAATATCTTCTGCTTTCAGGTTGGAAATAAGACCCACTTAACAAGAAAGTAATCATGCCTGGTACTGGAAACCTAGACAACCACCCAAGGGCTAATGAAGGTAATTTATCTTGAAGGAGAACCCTACAACTGTCATTAACTAAACCAGGATAATCCCCAACTACATTCTAAATAGGGTTTGGAAGGAGGAAAAGGGAAGGGGAGACTGTGGTGGTATTGTGCTCCCCAAAATATTGTGCACCATAATAAACTTATCTGGGGTCAGAGACAGAACAGCCACTAGATACAAAGGCTAGAAAATGGTGGCACTTACATCTTTAATCCTAGCACTCCAGAGG